TTCCAGATAAGCAGAAATTAAGGGAATTTGTTAAAACCAGACCAACCTTACAAGAGATGCTAAAGGGAGTCCTTTGGACAAAGAAGCAACAACAGCCAACAACAACTGACCATTAACACACATGATGATATAACCCAGAAACCAACCTAGGTATGGAAGTATCCAAAGTAAAGAAGCCTACAAGATTGTAAACAGGGAACTAGAGACATCAACTGATAAATGAGGACAACTAAAAACCAAAAAGAGGGAAAAAACTGTGTCGTTACAGAACTTCTAGATGGTAGGGATGTCAAGACAACTACAAGATAGAATAGACTGGGAAGAATACTATAAATCACAGGGTTACCTCAAAGAAAAATGATAAACCGTCACATCAAAATAAAAAAGAGGACCAGCACAAATATTTAGCAAATACTAAAACAATAGCAACAAAAGAAGTGATAACACGATTCATAAACAAAACGAGCTCAGCATAGAAAATTATATGGAACAGAGAAATCAACCCATGAAAAACATACAACAAAAATGACAGCAACAAATTCATATTTGCTGATAATTACATATGTGGCAAGGGACTTATCTCTAAGATTTGTAGAAAACTCCAATGCCTCAACACCAAAGGAATTAACAATCCAATTGAAAAATAGGCAGAAGGCATGAATAGATACTTCACCAAGGAGGATATTCAGGTGGCCAGCTAATGCATGAAGAGACGCTCACAACCATTGGCCATCAGAGATACAAATCAAAACAACAAGATACCATCTCACCCCAGCACTGATGGCAAGGTTCAACAAGACAGAAAATAACAAACGCTGGTGGGGATGTGGAGAGATTGGGACTCTCATACACTGCTGGTGGAACTGACTGAGAAGGGATACAACCACTGTGGAAAGCAATATGCCGATTGCTTAGAAAGCTGGAATTGGGGACACCATTTGACCCAGCAATCCCATTACTAGGTATATATCCTAGAGAGGTGAGAGCCAGGACAGGAACAGATATATGCACACTCATGTTCATTGCAGCACTATTCACAATAGCAAAAAGATGGAAACAACCTGTGTGCGCTCAGCAGAAGAGTAGTTGACCAAACTGTGGTACATATACATAATGGAATGCTATGCAGCACTAAAGAATAATGTAGAGTCTGCAAAACACCATATAATATGGATGAACTTAGAGGACATTATGCAAATAAAATAAGTCAATCACAGAAAGACAAATATAGTATTAGTTTGTTGTTGCAGAGGGTCAAGAAAAGGTTTATATATGGAGGGAAACTTTCTTTGTTGGTTGCCAGAGGTGGGAGGGGAGGGGACACTGCAAAAAAAAAAAAAAAAATGCAATGACTCATGTCACTTTAGTTTTGTGTATTTCACTGTACATAAATTATATTTCAACAAAATGCATTAAATAAATAAATAAGTTTTATTTATTTATGGTAGGTTAAAAATATAGTATGTAAAATACATTTTGTTATCATTTTAATTATTGCCATCGAGTCGGATCCAACTCATAGCAACCCCTCCTCGGGTTTCCGAGGTGGGAGCACTATGAAGTAGATTGCCCAACCTTCCTTTCAAGGAGTGGCTGGTGGGTTTGAACTGCCAGCCCTCATGTTAGCAAATGCCAGTATAATATTTCCTTCTAGTTTTTTACAGCTATTATTCTGGAAGGAATCAGACTAAAAATACTAACCTTAGAGGAACTAAGTATTTTTTTAAAGAAATTTCTCTTCTTTCCATTTTAAAGCTTTGTGCTTTATAAATTGAAAAATTAACTGAAATTAATTTTTTCCTAATAGATTTTGAAATAAATAACATGATCCAAACTATATTGGTACTCTCCCCTCAAATACTACTTACTCCTAAATTACAAGAACTGAAAAGATAGGAAATAATGAGTCATCTTTGCTATCTTATGTCAGACTCCTGATTTTTCAGTTAATCCATTGACAGATGTTAAAGATATCATTTGGGTTTCACATTGATGATATAAAGCTCAACCAAGCTCAGCTTTTCCTTATTTATCTTAATGCTTATTAAATTCAGCACACATTTTAAATGTATTTATCACTGCTACAGGAATGACAGCTAAAAATAAATACAAGCTATTTGAGATTTTTAATCCTATAATCAAGGCCAGCAAATTTGTATCAACAAATTTTTTTGCTACATATCACCTCCTTTCTTCCCTCATTTCCTAACACAAATTACTATAGGCAACATTCTAGACCAGTGAATGCAAACTCAAATGTAAAACTCCCCAAAGTGAGGCTTCCATGGTCTTGTGAAATAACCTGGATCACAGTACCTGGATTCTTCTAAGTAGCTGTATGCATTTGTCAGACATCAACTACACATTTTAAAGGCTATTGTAAACAGCATGTGGAAGCGGGTGGAAAACACTTTGCCGACTGCAAAACACTGATCAAATACAGGGAATTAATCCCTGAGAGTTAAAGAATGAATGTAAAATAAAAACTGACCTCATATATAAAATACACTTTGGCTCCTACATAGATTCCCATTCGCACCACAGCACGAACAGCAGCATTCATACCTGTGAAAGAAACATGAATAATCATTATTTAAGAAACTTTGTGTTTAGATTGGACTAGGTTTCAATTCTAGCTCTTTGTGACCTAGGAAGAACTGCATAATCTCTCCTAAACCTAATTTGAAAAAATGACTATAAGTAAGACACACCTCCAGGGTGAGTATAAAGACTAAGAGAAACAAGGAATATAAAGCACAGTGTTTGGCATTTTGAGCATTCACCAATAAAAATAAATATCATCATGAAAAAGCCAATATGCCACTTTTAGTTTAGAATTATCACTGCAAACACACTCCTGAGCAGCTTCGATTTGGTTATGGATTTGCAAGAAACTATTTCCAATTACAAAACAATATAAGACACAGGTGTTTATTTACATTTACCTAAAATCAAAGAAAATAATACTGAAAATAACAATTGGTCTGTGATGTGAGGAGGAGATGAAACATGGATTATTTCATCACCATCTGTGGTTTGCTGTTACAGAGTCAGCTCGCAATTGATGGTGACACCACGTACAACAGAATAAAATGCTGCCCAGTCCTCTGCCATCTCCACAATTGGTTGTAGGTCAGACTGTTGTGATCCACAGGATTTTCACCAGCTGATTTTCAGAAGCAGGTTGCTAGGCCTTTCTTTCTAGTCTGTCTTAGCCTGGAAGCTCCACTGAAGCCTGTGCAGCATTACAGCAACACACAAGCTTCCACTGACTGATGACTGGTGGCTGCTCATGAGGTGCGGGGCTGACAATGGAGCCTGGGTCTCCTGCATGGAAGGTGAGAATTCTACCCCTGAATCACCACTGCCCTTATATCACTACCAACTGAGTTTTAAAAAAAGAAAACTGCAGGCAATAGCCTGAAATACAAAAAAAAAAAAAAAAAAAAAAATGCAGTTTTACTAGAAGAAAAATTAAACTAAACCAACCAAACAAAACCAAATCCATTGTCATTGAGTCACCTGCCTCCTCCCCAGTTTGTCCAAGGCTGAAATCTTTAGGAACGTGATTGCCACATTCTTTCTCCCACAGAGTGTCTGGGGAGCCAAACCACCAACTTTTTAGTTAGCAGCTGAGCACTTAACCACTAAGTCACTAGAGCCCCAAACTATTCTCACATACTATAAATAATCATACTGAATCAAGATAAATCTAGGACATTTTTCACATATTCCCAGAGGACTTTACTTAAAGAAATTAAAGGCAAGGGCAGTGAGTTTATGTTAAAGGGGAAAGAATAATTAGGAGAACAAGGGCGAGAATGGTAGCAAACCTGAAAAATGTAATTAGTGGGCCTGAACTGTACATGTAGAAAATGTTGAATGATTGTGTATTTTGCTGGGTATATTTTAAACAATAAAAAAATGATGATTGTGAAAGAAAAAAAGTAAAAGAAATTAAAGGTAGCTTTATGCAATGTATTATTATGTAAGTCTCTTAGATATAATTTTGCCTTCCCCTGAAGTCCTATTTTTGAAAACTGAAAAGTTAACTTGAATAGTCAACTGTGGCATGTATCCAATTGTCTAAAGTGACTATTTAATATATATATTGTATACACACATATATTTATATATACAGATCTACATCTATATCTATACCTATATATATATATAATACCCACATATATATGTGTGTGTATATATGTGTATATATATATATATATATATATATGTATGTACAGGCATGGGTTGCTTAACATTTATGATACAATCTGTGAAACAGGGCATTCGTATGATTTGGTTATTGTATGAACACCACATTAAAACCTTATTGGAGCCACTTCCAGTTGTCCTCATTGCTGCTGCTAAGACTGCTGGCAGAAGGCAGAGGAATGGGTTCCTCCAGCAGCAGCAGCACCAGAGGAAGCAGGGGTGGGACCAGAGTGAGAGGAAGTGAGTACAGAGGAAGTAGAGCACCCAACCCCTCCCAGCCTGCTGTTTCACTCACTTTAGCAGAGCAGCCTGGGCTCCTACAGCCCCTGCCAGCACCTGCTCAAGGGACAAACCTAAGCATCCGCACCCAGAGCTATGTCTTCTGCCTCACCTGCATGTATCCCACCTGTGGTCCAATACTGCAAGAGTCTGGATTTGGGGTCCTTAAGTGAATATACTTGTATATATTCAGTTCCTGTCACCTCCATACAGATTCCCTGACTTTCCCCTCATTCCTGTTAGGATGGGATTTCCCCTTTCTCTTTGTGCTCACACATGTGATATTTTATTGTACCTATTTGCTTATGTGTATGTATCTCCAATTTGAGGGAAGAGTGCCGTTCTTATTTAACTCTGCACTCCTAACATTCAGCTCAGTGAACGTATGTTTCAACCCTAAAGTCTTAACCAAATAAATAAAACCTCTAAGCTTCCTATTTTTTCTTCTTCTTCTTTTTTTTTTTTTAAATTGTGATTCGGATGAAGATTTACAGAGCAAATTCACTTTCCAGACACCAGTTCACATATACTTTGTCTCATGTCATTGACACAGTTTACCATAATGCAATAGCTCCTCTCCCACTTTCTCCCCATAGTTACCTCTTTCCAGTGCCCATCCCTCCATACACTTTGCCCCCTGAGCTGTCTTCCTGTTCATAAGCAGCCCTTCTTTCTCCCATGATTGTTCTCTCCAAGGAGTTTATCTACTTCAGGTAAATGTTCAACTCATGTGCCTGTATTTCTTTTTGGCTGGAAACCCAAAGTGTGGGTTCAATTCCAGACCTGAAGGGCAGCTAGGGGCCATAGTCTCAGTGGTTCCACCAGGCTCTATCGGACCAGCAAACCTAGTCCCCACCTTTTTTTTTCCTTTTCCTCCAAATTATTTTTACTTTTATTCCACATGGTTCTCCCTTTCCATCAAGGATCTACTACATAGATCCCCTTCCAACTGGATGACAGAGTAGCCGGGCACCATCCAGTTCTTCTGGTCTCATAGTTGTATAGGCTACAGATCGGATGGTGTACCAGTCACTAGGGCTAACTGTTTCCATGAATTTTGGTTTTCTTCATTCTTCTTTGCTTTGGACAAGGAGAGACCCATCGTTGCATCTAGATAGCAGCTTGCTAGCTTTTAAGATCCCAGTCACTACCCGCCAAAGTAGAAGATGGAACAATGTTTTGTATAGTATGTTATGCCAATTGAGCTTGATGTCCCCTGAGACTATGGTCCCAAGTCCACAGGTTCAACTACTCGGTCCCTCTGGGTAGCTGGCTGTGACCAAGCAGTGACCACAACCTTGCCCCTTGTCAGCTCTACTATACACCTGGGA